AAACATTCATATTTCGTATCGACAATTGAAATATTAAATCACGGACAGTGTTTTGTGAAGAATCGAAAGATAAAAACAAGAACATTGTAAGTCACCAAAAACGCAACGATGTCTCTAGAATTGTATTTCTTTCGAAGTGTTTGAACCAGATGTGATTCGTAAGTTGAACATTTATACCCCTCACAACTGGGAGATGCGTCCATTTACCTTCTTTTCGACATCTTTTTTATGGCAAATTACAGCAATAATTCTTAAAATGAATCCCAGATGTGATTCTTAAGTTGAACATTTATACCCCACACAACTGGGAGATGCATCCATTTACCTTCTTTTCGACATCTTTTTTATGGCAAACTACAGCAATAATTCTTAAAATGAATCCCAGATGTGATTCTTAAGTTGAACATTTATACCCCACACAACTGGGAGATGCATTCATTTACCTTCTTTTCGACATCTTTTTTATGGCAAACTACAGCAATAATTCTTAAAATGAATCCCAGACGTGATTCGTAAGTTGAACATTTATATCCCTCCCAACTGGGAGATGCGTTCGTCTCCCTCCTTTTCGACATCTGTTTCGTAGCAAATTACAGTAATGATTCTTAAAATGAATTCCATACATGATTCGTAAATTGAACATTTCTAGTTTTCCCAACTAGAGCGAAGATCAATACTTAAAAAGCTGCTGGTGTCGAATTTCGCCTTCGCTGAACGAAAGATGAACGTTCATTTTAAGAATCATTCCTCTATGTCTAACATTTCACCCATCTCTTAAGGAACTTGTACCATCAAAAGCCCAATGGAACAGAAATCGAACATGTCCATTGCTCGTAATTTGAAAACACGTTGCATAATTAGACAAGAATCGAATTTTGAATATCACGAATAATATGGCAACGAACAATACGGAATGAAATCAACGGAAAGTCTGCTGTGGGGCGTGGAAGATTCCTGGCTAAACACCGCGATAGGAAAATACGGAATCGTTGAGTCGCGTATAATATGCAATTACGAAATTGTTCGTAAAGGTCAGAAACAGAGGGTCTAGAACGTTTCCCGGTTTTCAGATGTCGCTGAACCGTGAGAAACGCGTTGCAATCTGACCTCCGCAATCACCTTTATCGATATCGTGCATCGCGAGCCGCGGCGGGAAATTTTGCGTAGGTAGATCCGCGGACGCAACTAAGCGTGTAATTCGTACCTATCTGCGTTCTATCTGCCATACTCGTTTCGCAGTAGCCTACTCGGTTATTGCCTATTTCCCGCTGGCTGACTAATACATTCGCGTCACAGGATCGTTACGTTTCATCAAATCAGCAACAAATTATCGCGGTCAATTAGAATCCCGTTTAATAATTCCTCCGTGTACTTGGGGCGATTACGAAACAACGTCGCGCACGTGGGATTATCGTACAACGATTCGATACGCGAATCGAGAATCGCTTTCTACCCTTTTGCGATTTATTCGATGTTTTACCTAATCTCGAATGATCGATGATCGCGTGGATATTGTATTTGCATCGATGACAGGTAAAAATTTCACTCTTTAGATGTATGCAGTTCCAACAATATACAATGGTCGATATTGCAACCATCATGGCATCGATTCTATTTAAGATTTCTTCTGATTCAATCCTCGCTTGCTTTATCAAATCTGCAGTGATAGATCGTTCTATTACTCATGTAAATATGGTAACTCGAGATTGGATTTTTTAATAGGCTATTCTCATATCTTTCTTTAAGATCTCTGATGGAAGTTACTTTAGAGGCTATTTTTTTCAATCTGATATCAATTCTACCCAAGTTTCCTTGCATTTCCTCATTTTCCTTTATCCCATTCGTTGATGGTCGTCTATTACATATTAACTTTGTAATAGTTTAATTAAAAGTTAGACTGTATAATGAGTAGTTCTAAATTCTTTCTTCCTAATTACCAATGGTGTTATTTAATCCTAAATTACATCTATACTAAGGTAAATTCTAATTGAATATCATTCTCAATCAATTTTCATTTCCATTATCAAATCTGGAGTGATAGATCATTTTGTTAATTTCGTAATTGTATTAATTCAAGATTACATTTTGTAATATGCAATTCTCACTTCTATCTTAAATTGATTTGAGGAGATATCTTTCTTCACGCCATGTCTCATTATGACCTTTAAAAATACACAAAAAGCGAGCTTTTAATAACAGTATGAAACTTGAAAGATTACATAAATGAGTTAATTTTGAAGGATATATCATTCATTTTGTTAGTCTTATATGAGTAAGATTACAATTTGTAAGATTCCCTATTTTTGCTTAAGAAAAACAGTTGTCTATAAGAAATTTAATCAAGAAAAATTTTTATTTTGTAGCATCGATAAAATTATGCACAAAACAATCGTGTTTAACAATGTTATGTTAATGCATTCATACTTGTATAATCATCAGGAGTTATTTGAAATTATAAAATCGTCTACTCGAATCGTTTAATCGTTTAAAAAATTATATCTGATATATGCAAAAGGTTATTTTTCTTTCAATCTTGACGTGCATTTAATTCCATCGTGCTGTTGGGATCCGCTAATTGTTTGGAGCAGTGTATTATGGTAAATGCATGCTGCGATGAATTCGCGTTTTATGGACTGTTCGTCTATCTCTTCGGGTTGGTCATATATATCCTTGACCATAATTGTCTCGAGTCCTTTCGTACGAATTGTGAATTCTGCCAGGCATTACAATGCAACACGCGATAGAAGACGTCTTACGTGTCGATAAACGAACGTATAAAGTACACGCACGACGATGGAACTACCGACATCCTTGGTGAAAATATACAATAAGACGTTCGAGTGCGTCAACGTGCAGTAATTACGGTAAAGATATAATGCATCGAGCGAAACGTTGTGAAAATTGCTGACCGTTCCACAATTACGCGACCGTGCGGCAGGAAAGGTTTAAAAATTTCTCACGTGCCGGTATCGGTTCTGTTTCTCAAACTATCCTGAGGATCCACCCAACTAGGTGTAATTTCAATAATCGTGACTGATGGTGGTCAAAACTTTAACTGTGTTACGAGCGCGAGCGCGAGATCCTGGATTCAGTCGAGGGCAGTACTCGACCGGTGGTTTTAGGTATGGTTTAGGAAAGAGAAAGGAGTTCCGGACGAACCAGGGGCTCTATATCCTGGGAGCCACGGGGTTAGATTTATAAGGAAAATGTATGGTTTCACGGACGAACCAGGGGCTTTATACCCTGGAAGCCACGTAGGTTTTTTAGGATGTTTTAGGATCTTGCTCTGTCGTAATGGTACACCTCGAGCGGTAAAGGTGTACCGGGTTCGTGAGATACCCCTAGCCTTACAGTTAATATGGTTCAGGGTTGAATTAAGTGAATAATACAAGTGAGGAATACTACTTGAATATATTCTTATCGATGCTCAAGTACAGTGATCAATTAACAAAACTGGTACTATTGTTAGGTTGCCTTGACGACGAAAGATCCATGTCGACTTTTACGCGGCCCTTATATACTTGAAAATGCTCTGTGCAGTGGCGGGGCATCACCATATAAGGTAATGCCCTATATATGGAAATTGGGCCGGGTGCTTACATACGGCATGAGTCAACCCCGTTCAAAGGGTTGTACACTAGATGCTTAGGCCAACGCCCAAGTCACCAAACGTTTCAATCCCATACATGAATGATATGTAACAACTGTTACGGGAATAAATAGTAACTGTTTGAATATGAGAAATACATTTACTTTTCGTGCACGAATCGCGTCGATAATGCAAGTAATTGAAATTATCAAACAAAATAGACAACGTTACTAACATTTTAAAATACGTATAATGATTTTTAAGACGAATCCCAGACGTGATTCATAAGTTGAATATTTCTATTCCTCCAACTAGGGAAAACGTTCATTTCCCTGCTTCGTCTCAAGAAACTACATGCAATGATTCTTAAAATGAACCCTAGATGTGATTCACAAATTGAACATTTCTATTCCTGTCAAGTAGGGGATGTGTCCCATTTCCCTTCTCCTTGACATTTGTTTCGCGATAAATTACGATAGTGATTCTTAAAATGAACCTCAGACGTGATTTTTAAATTCAACATTTCTATTCCTCCAACTAGGGAAAGCATTCATTTCTCTGTTTCATCTTAAGAAACTACATGTAATGATTTTTAAAATGAACCCTAGACGTGATTCACAAATTCAACATTCCTATTCCTGTCAAGTAGAGGATGTGTCCCATTTCCCTTCTCCTCCTTGACATCTGTTTCGCGATAAATTACGGTAATGATTCTTAAAATGAACCTCAGACGTGATTCTTAAATTCAACATTTCTATTCCTCCAACTAGGGAAAGCATTCATTTCTCTGTTTCATCTTAAGAAACTACATGTAATGATTCTTAAAATGAACCCTAGACGTGATTCACAAATTCAACATTTCTATTCCTGTCAAGTAGAGGATGTGTCCCATTTCCTTTCTCCTCCTTGACATCTGTTTCGCGTAAAATTACGATAGTGATTCTTAAAATGAACCTCAGACGTGATTTTTAAATTCAACATTTCTTTTCCTCCAACTAGGGAAAGCATTCATTTCTCTGTTTCATCTTAAGAAACTACATGTAATGATTTTTAAAATGAACCCTAGACGTGATTCACAAATTCAACATTTCTATTCCTGTCAAGTAGAGGATGTGTCCCATTTCCCTTCTCCTCCTTGACATCTGTTTCGCGTAAAATGACGGTAGTGCGCCTGCGTTGTACAAGAGATGAACACGCCAGCCTCAGAGCGATGTTCATTTTAAGAATCATTATTGTAAAAGCATTTTTTTTTTTTGTCTCATCATTAACAATGTTGCAACACGTTCAAAGTGCCGGTTACCAGTGACCACCGTGACAGTGATCGTGTTGAATCTGCACTCGACTGTCTGAAATAGTATTTGGTACATATAAATCACCCATACTAACATTTATTATGTCGTTTCTGTTGCAGGCCAAGCCCGTGTGAACTGCAGGACCCGCTGTGGGTCAAAATGAGTGCGATTACTGGCAGCATCACCAAGAAGAGAAAGAAATCAGATTCCAAGTCTCAGTCGCAAATGTGAGTAAGGGTGTTATCCAGAATCAAAGTTCCTTTTTCGAGTGAAACGAGAAACTTCCAGTAGTTTGCTCTTTTGCAAAGACAATAAGAAATTTTACAACCGTAACTTTATAAAACATTCCTGGGAGATGATTTTTGGTGTCTTAATTTTCCTAAGATAATTATACGGTATTAGTTATATAGATTTTAGTAGATTATTTTTATCTAACGTTATCAAAGGAGCGCCAAAGATTATTTTTGGTTGCAATTAATTTTGTAGAAAACTTAATCACAATTTTCTGCAGGGACCAAAAATAATAATTATCCTGAACATTTATACGAAAGAAATCATTAACAATAAGTTGTTATAATTTCAAATTTCGAAATTTCTTAAAATAAAGAATTTCCTTACTATAGTTAGATCAGTAATATATTATTATTTTGTCCATTTCTGTTTTTTGTTTTAAGAAATTTCAGCAAAAAAGTGAGAAATTAATTACCTGCTTTCATTCTAAAATCATTTTAAACTCTTTTATACCTAATTTTCTAATTGTTCTACCAATAATAAATTGGACACGCTTGTTTTTAATTTTCAAAAGTAGAATTCAACATATATTATTATATTGTCCATTTCTGTTTTTCGTTTTAAGAAATTCGATCAAAAAAATGAGAAATTAATTACCTGTTTGCCTTCTGAAATTATTTTGAACTCTTCTGTCCCTAATTTTCTAATTGCTCTACCAATAATAAATTGTGCACGCCTGTTTATAATTTCCAAAAGTGAAATCCAACATAGGCATTTTAGGGTTAATGAATTTCCTTGCTGTTCGAGGACGCAAACTCAAGGCAAACTGTAGCGCGTCTGCGTCTCTCAAAGATTTTTACACGGAAGATCGTCGCATTTCGAGGTCAACTTTCCCCTGTACAATCGTGCATTCCATCTGATTTCGAATCGGTCATCAAACAGCCGTTAAGTATGCGTTCGACTCGAGATGAATTGGATTGAAATTACTACGCGTAACAAAGGTTCCGTGCATCTAGCGATCTATTGACGAAGTCTCGAACCGAGAAGGAAAACTGACGAAACAATTTTCCGCGAAACGAATAATTATTGTTTATCATTCACGTCAAACAGGAAAAATTTACATCAGATAGACGCAACACGAACGCAAATAACAAAAATCGACGGTTAAACACGTTTTTGTCGTCGATCATTAAACAACCAATTCCACATAAAAATGTCACAGGAGATAATAAACGAACTTTTTATGAATATCTTAAACACAGAAAAGCACAATTACATCATTTAAACAATAATTTCTACGTACGAACGCCACGGGAGATAAGAAATGAATTTTGTATGAATATCTTAAACGCAGAAAAGCATGATTACACTTTTTATAATTGAAGGATTTGGAAATCGATTAATAGATATTGCATTTTCTTGAATAAATAATATAGAATTTTGATTATTACTTAAATCCAATTACCATAATTTGAATGATCGACTCTGGCAATATTGCATTATTTTTTTTTATTTATTTATTTATCAAAAGTATGATAATACATTTTATAGAATTCTTTGATTTTCATGAGATAGTATAGAATACAGAGTATAAGAAGTAATAAGAATATTTTTAATACTATTTAATAAAAACAAAATATTTATTATTGTGCAATCGAGAAGTAGGTGATTCTTCGTGCAAAAACAAGCCCGAGAATATAGAATAAAATTTTGTTCGCCGACCTTTCGTTATCGAGAAAAACAAGTCTGAAAATCTATAGAATGCAACGCATAATTAATTACTATTTCAACATATGAGTCTCACTGGGCCAGAAAGGTTTAAAATCGTTTTCTATTGTGGCGTCGCCTCCCATGCTCACCACCAGAGGGGTCGCGCTCTCACAAGCGCTCGACCGACCCCTCGATTGTTATATGTATACAGGGTGTTCAGCCACCCATGGGAAAAATTTTAATGGGGGATTCTACAGGGCAAAATAAGACGAAAATCAAGAATACCAATTTTTTGATGGAGGCTTCGTTAGAAAGTTATTAACGTTTAAAGTTCCGTCTGTACTGAATTTTTTTCTCGAAAATGCGCAGGAATTCGGGATTATGTCTATTCACCAAAAATTATTGTAATTGGCCCTCGCAACCGAAAATAATTTTTCCAGAACGATTTGTAAGTTTTTTTTTCGTCGAAAAATTTAGACACCTAATTAGATTTTCGGTAAGGAATTTTTTTCTCGAAAGTGCGTAGGATTTCGGGGATATGTGTAATGACCAAAAAGGATTGCAATTGACCCCCGCAGCCGAAAATAATTTTTTTAGAACAATTTAAAAATTTTTTATTTCGCCGAAAAATTTCAGCACCTAACCCGATTTTCTTTCTCGAAAGTGGATAGGATTTCGGAGGTATGTGTATTCACCAAAAATGATTGTAATTGACCCCTGCAAACGAAAATAATTTTTCCAGAACGATTTGAAATTTTTGAATTTACTTGTTAATAACTTTTTAACAAGCCTCCATCAACAAATTGGTATTCTTGATTTTCGTCTTATTTTGGCCTCTAGAATCCCCCATTAAAATTTTTCCCACTTCCCAAACTTCCCAATATCCCAGTCATCTAAGGTAGGGCCTGCTAGAGAGTCTTACTGATGAATCCGCTAGCAGGCCCGGACGAAACGCGCCCCCTCCTTTCCTTTTCTGCTGTCCTACAAGATTCTCCCGAGATTCTACCCTCAGCCAGCGGTGCCACACTATTTTCATCAAAAGTCACTCACGGAGCAAATTTCTTGCCCGAAATAATGATATCGGGCAAGTAGAAAGTTCCTTCCAGTCCGGTACGTCATGAATTATTGCAATTTATAGAATGAATATGTAGGGAATCTTATCGGTAATTGTATTTCATTATTTTCCATAACTCCAGTACGTGTAATAAAACAAAAGTGAAACTAGTGTAGGATTAAAATTGTAATTTAATCACTTACAAGGAACCATCGCGAACGGTCCGGCTTCGATTTTGATGAAACTTTGTACACTTATAAAGCAGCCAAAAATAATCGACACGTATTTTTTTTTAGCTGCGGTAACTCGAGTTTAAGGGGTGAAACCACCCCTTGAAGTTTTGGCTCGAAACGGCTATCTCGAAAACGAAAAGACATATAAGAAAATTGTTAATGGGCGAGGTTGATGGTTTCTTATGTACAATAACATGGTGTTAAAAAATTTAAAAAAATACAATTTGTTTATAACAAAAAAAAATTTATTAACTTAATTTTTCATTTTATTGAAATTTTCATAATGACAAAAAATGACGAGCATTTTATTCCAAATCCATTGGTATGCGATTTTTTAAAATTGCCTCCTACAGTTTTTGATGATTTACATCTTGCGCGCACATCCATTATGGTAGTAGCCGTTCTAACTTTGATTTTAATGAAGCACTGTAGGCTTGCACTACTTCTAGAGGACAAAATCGGGAAAAATACCAATTTGTTGATGGAGGCTTCGTTAAGAAATTATTAACGTTTAAAGTTTCGCCCGTACTGAATTTTTTTCTCCGAAATGCCCAAGATTTCGGGGGAATGTGTAATGACCAAAAATGATTGTAATCGACCCCTGCGACCGAAAATAATTTTTTCAGAATGGTTTGAAATTTTTTAATTTTGTTGAAAAATTTCACACATTCTCGAACTTTCTTCTCAAAAGTGCGTAGGATTTCGGGGGTATATATATTGACCAAAAATGATTGTAATTGGCCCCCGCAACCGAAAATAATTTTTTCCTGGAGGATTTGAAATTTTTTAATTTAATTTTTTAATAACTTTTTAACGAAGGCTCAATCAACAAATTGATATTCTTGATTTTCGTCTTATTTTGGCCTCTAGAATCTCACATTAAAATTTTTCCCAAGGGTGGCCGAACTTTTCCAAATCCATTGGTATGTAATATTTTAAAATTGCCTCTTACAGTTTTGCAGATTTTGATGATTTACATCTTGCGCGCACATCCATTATGGTAGTAGCCGTTCTAACTTTGATTTAGTGCAAGCCTACAGTGCTTCATTAAAATCAAAGTTAGAACGGCTACTACCATAATGAATGTGCGCGCAAGATGTAAATCATCAAAATCTGCAAAACTGTAAGAGGCAATTTTAAAAAATCGCATACCAATGGATTTGGAATAAAATGCTCGTCATTTTTTGTCATTATGAAAATTTCAATAAAATGAAAAATTAAGTTAATAAATTTTTTTTTGTTATAAACAAATTGTATTTTTTTAAATTTTTTAACACCATGTTATTCTACATAAGAAACCATCAACCTCGCCCATTAACAATTTTTTTGTATGTCTTTCCGTTTTCGAGATAGCCGTTTCGAGCCAAAACTTCAAGGGGTGGTTTCACCCCTTAAACTCGAGTTACCGCAGCTAAAAAAAAATACGTGTCGATTATTTTTGGCTGCTTTATAAGTGTACACAGTTTCATCAAAATCGAAGCCGGACCGTTCGCGATGGTTCCTTGTTAGTCAGAACTCGCGAATTAACAAAACATGGAACAAGGAACTTTATTAACACCAGAACAAACACCAAACAAATAATATTCACCAAATCGTTATAATCGTAATCACCGTCACGTACAATCGTTTCGTCGCGTCGTCGAATCGACCGGCAAAAGACTTCGTTGCCTTCTCGACGCGTCCTTTTAACCCTTTCCCGTCCCGAACATCCGCCGGTTTCATATCCGGAGAAGTTTCCAGAACATTCCCGTCGTTTCGCAACAATGTTTCGTTACCATACTTCATACATTCATACATCCAATCATGCAATCGTTCAGGGTCGACACATTCACGCAATTCAATCCTTACCAGCTCCACATCCGGTAATCTTTCCCGAATGTTCTTAACATTTCCAAACATTTCCAAACGTTTCATCACTATGGCCAACGCACTCATACATTTAATCATTCAATTAGAGTCGACACATTCAGATCACTCAGCCGTTCTTCACGATCGATGC